TGGTCAGAACCTGCTGAATACCACCTCTGAATTGGGGGATTCTTCTTTATTTCAAGTCCCAAACTCGAAATAAGTAGAAATTTTCAAAGGAGATGTACATGGCCATCCAATTCCAGTGAATTGGCATCTTTAGAAATGGATTAAATAAAAATAAATAAATAAAAGTCCTCCTCCCAACAGGTCCGGTAAATATGTTAAATTGGAAAGTAAGCGTTTGATTCGGCTTCCGCTACAATTTTAAATGTAATTCTAAACTTACTTTGGCAAAATCTACATGGTCTTTTTTATTTAGTTTTCACAACACAGAAAAGGCTGTTCCACCTACTCCTCCTTCCACCCCCCAATGACTGACAGGTGTGGATCAGCCTGAATCTGTTTGTCTCTAAGCCTTGGTTTTTCTTTTTCTTTTTTTTTTGGGGGGGGGGTTCTTTTTTTTGCCTACTCCTGTTTTGAATCTATGTTTTATATATTTATTTGTTTTAATTTGTATACCGCCCTTCTCCAGCAGGACTCAGGGCAGTGAACAGCCAGAATAAAACAGAACATACAAAATTTAAAAACAGTTTAAAAATAATTAAATATTTTGACCGCAATTTAAAACATCCCAATTAAAATCAATTAAATTTAACCAAAAACAGATGTTGGCATCTCTCCATCTTTGTCACACACACAAAAAAACCCCTATGAATGTCAGCCCCTGTGATGGGAGAAGGTTGTGTCTTCTGAATGTGACACCCCATAAATTTAACATAGATCATCTTGTTTTCAGAATAGAATGTCTTTTCGTAGCCATGGGCGTTTCTGTCGACCTTTCTCAGAGATGCCAAGTTGGGCATGATGGTTTGCTGAGTGCGTTTATTGCTTTTCTATAGTGTATGAGCTTCTATAGTGTATAAGGCTCCTTTGCCTTATTTTCCTGTGCCAGACGCTGGGGCAGCCGGCTCTGAAGGAGAAAGTTATAAAATAGCATGGCTCAACCATGCTGAGAGTGAAATCGGTGAAATGTGTGGGTCAATGCAAGAATCCAGGGATACAAATGGAAATTGTTCTCTCCCACACACACACACCACCCCCATAAGTTCTGTGTAACTCGGCTGGACCTTCTTGGCGATTCCTTGGCTTGGCCAAGTCATGAAGCCATCAGTCAGAAGGGAAAAAGAGGTAGCATACATCGTCTGTCTGTCTGTCTGTCTGTCTGTCTGTCTGTCTGTCTGTGGAGATTCTCAGTCATCGAGGTCATGGTTGTCCCAAAAGTGCTCTTTCAAAAGGCAACTGGACCAGTAGTGGGTTTCACTTAACTTCGCTACCGGTTTGGAACTATTAGCGTGCGGCACTTGCTTCGCTCGCGTGCGGCGCTCATGTGCATGTGCAGAACGGCTGTGATGACATCCGGGCGGGTGGGCGGAGCCTCCCGCCGTTGCTACCGGTTCGCCCCGGTTCGGAAACCCATCACTGAACTGGACTTTCTTTGGTTTTTCTTTTTTTTAATTTATTTTTTCTTTTTTTCTTTCTTTTTTCTTTTTCTTTTGATTTATATGCCGCCCTTCTCCGGAGACTCAGGGCGGCTTACAATGCGTTAAGCAATAGCCTTCATACTTTTGCATATTTTATACAAAGTCAGCTTACTGCCCCCACAAACTGGGTCCTCAATTTACCTACCTTAGAAAGGATGGAAGGCTGAGTCAACCTTGAGCCTGGGGAGAATTGAACTGGCAGTAATTGCAGGCAGCTGGAAGCTAAATACTACCTTTAACAGTAGCATTAGTTTGCTGCGCCACTCAAACTTCTTGAAGAAGTTTCACTTCTCAGAACTGAAGAAGCTTCTTGGCTGAGAAACGAAACGTCTTCAAAGAAAAACAAAGAAAGTCCAGTTGCCTTTTACAAAAGCACATTTGGGACACTCTCTCTCTCTCTCTCTCTCTCTCTCTCTCTCTCTCTCTCTCTCTCTCACTCTCACACACACACACACACACACACACACACACACACACACACACACCAACAAATACCCTCCCCTATTTCCCTTTAAAATCAGCTTGGCACCAGCTCTGATTCCATAATGGAAACCAGTCGGCCTCGGTCCTTTGCCATATGCTTAGCTCTGGAGAGAAGGTGCTGCTGGGTATAGCAGTAATGATTTGATGGAAGAATTAAGTGGACCTTGAAATTAGAACTGGACTGTCGGAAAAGGCAGGAAAGCATAATATATTGGCAGTAGAAACGGTGGTTCCTGGGGATTGTATTGCTTCCAGCGTTCTCTGCAGCATCACTGCAGCGCAAGATAACATCGCATGCGAAAATTCAGATGGTGTTGATTAGCTTCACAGTGAGATCTAATGAGTTATGGGTTGGGTGGATGGCAGGGGGAAAAAAAAGACACTCGCTCCTTTCCCCCAGTTAAAGCTGTGCAGCTCAGAACACAACACGGACTTACACACTCACCGACATGTACTAGCTGGCATCACAAGAAGGCAGTGATTTAATGTCATGGCAAAGAATTCTAGGAAGAGACACAGCTTAATTTTAAAGCAGTTGGATTGCCTTTGGAAAGTCTAGGGAAATATCCGTCAGACCCAGGAAGATATTTTCATGGCTTCTGAAATGTCCCAATATTACATGATCAAAATTCAACAGCCTTACCACCGGTTAAAGCAGAGTGATTGCTTGCCAATAAAAGGAATTAGGACTGATAAAAAAAGACCACCTCATAATGCCAAATATAATTTTATAAGCAAAAAGACCGTGGCATTCCCTCCTGCTTCCATCTCCTACTCCTCTGGTGATGTGGTCGCCTCCGCGTTGGCGACTCTTCCTAGCCTCATCTGCAGATGGAGCAATTAAAAATTAGAATGTCCTTGTAATATACAAAAAAGGCCAGCCTGGAATTACTGGAAGTAGGTAGATAACAGAATAACAGAGTCAGAACGGACCTTGGAGAACTTCTGATGCAACCCTGGCTCAAGCAGGAAACCCTATACCACTTCAGACAATCCCAATGTCTTCTTAATCCTCTGTGTAGCACTTAGCACTAGTGGTATATAAGTCTAATTGCTATTGCTGTCCTCGTCCTTGCAGCATTAAACTGGGAAAGATCCTCCACTTTAGGATGAATTTTAGGACAGTGATTCCTTTTTCTCTCACTTAAAAATAACTGATCATGTATTGAGGATTCTGCAGGATTGATAAGAATCAGAGGTGGGTTTCAGCAGGTTCTGACTAGTTCTGGAGAACCGGTAGCGGAAATTTTGAGTAGTTAGAGAACTGGTAGTAAAAATTCTGACTGGCCCCGCCCTCATTTATTCTCTGCCTCCCGAGTCCCAGCTATTTGGGAGGAAATGGGGATTTTGCAGTATCCTTCCCCTGGAGTGGGGTGGGAATGGAGATTTTACAGTATCCTTCCCCTGCCACACCCACCAAGCCACACCCACCAAGCCATGCCACACCCACCAAGCCATGCCCACAGAACTGGTAGTAAAAATTTTTGAAACCCACCACTGATAAGAATGTTTGGGGAACTCTTTAGGAATTCTATGAAGACTTGTCAAGTTCCTTTCCACATGACTGTATGCATCTCATATAATGTTCTTTGAAATTAATGGATGGATGGATGGATCAGTCACTCATCTTAAAATTATCCCATAACCATATTAATTTGAGCAGTGTTTTATAGTTGACATTATTTTGAAATTATAAAATAAGTAATCAGTCTCTGTTGCAGCCTTATTGGTATGCATACTAAAATCATTGCAGGTAGTCTCAGCATACAACAGTTCATTTCATGACCATTCAAAGTTACGACAGCATTGGGGGAAAAAAAGTGACTTATGACCATTTTTCACCCTTACAGACCTTTGCAGACTTACGGTCTGCACATGATCACGTGACTTACAGTCACGTGATCAAACTTCAGGTGCTTGCCAACTGACTCATATTGCAATGTCCCTTCTGATCCCCATTTGCGACCTTCTGACAAGCAAAGTCAATGGGGAAGCCCAATTCACTTAACAACCGTGTTACCAACTTTAACAATTGCAGCAATTCACTTAACAACTGTGGCAAGAAAGTAAAATGGGGCAAAACTCACTTAACAATGGTGGTCGTAAATCGAGAACTACCGGTAAAGATTTACAATTTACGACAGTGAACTATCCTCCTATCTGCTATAGAAAATGTAGAGTCCAATCCAGTGGTGGGATCCTGCCGGTTTAACAACTGGTTCCGTGATCGCGCACGCATGTGCCTGACGCACGCTGTGCGCGTGTGCACAGTTTTACAAAAACTTAACTTCCACATTACTGCTGGGGAGTAACACAGCTGAGGTGCAGCAATCCGCTCTGCCACATGAATCAGCTGAGAAGATATAGGTCAGTAAAGCACAGGGGCAGGCAGGCCCATCTAATTGTCGGAACGAACCGGTTCACTCCCAGCTGATTGTCAGAGTTACCGGTTCACCCAAATCGGTCCGAACCAGTAGAATCTCACCCTGGTCCAATCCCCTTTTAGGCTGAACTCAACTTCAGGATCTTTATGAACACATCTATGCAGTTTTCTTTGCAACGCTATGTTATTTGGCATTGCCTTTTTCCAGGGTGTTGTTGTTTGTTGACTTTTCAAGCTAATCTGCAGCCCTGGCATTTCCTGATAATCTCCCATCCAAATACTAACTGGGCCTGAATCTGCTTAGTTTCCATGCCCAGACAAGGTCAGTTAGATGCTGAGATTTCTTCTGGTCTAGCTAATTTGGCCAACACGTAGGGAAAATGTTGACCTTGAATGGAGGACAGACTTGTTCCATGTAATTGAGGTTGTATTTGGTATTAGTTAGACATGCTGTGGCCCTCCACCGGGTGGGCCATTTTCAACCCTGCGGAAAAACTTGATGTGTTCTGGAAGATTATACCTCTATAGGTTATTCCCTTGAAATGAATTTTCATTTAACACAGAAAGCTTTCGACATCTGTGGATTGTTTTTGAAGGTAATCTCTTCCTTTCTCTTTCAGTGTGACAGCGACAGTGATCAAGAAGAGAAGGTAAAGTCAGTTTCTGGTGTCTTATTCCCCCTTTTATGGCTATTTCTGGTATGGTTCATGGTTCTCATATTTCCTTTTAGTTCACGTGTTCATTAGTGAAGTTTAGTCTGAGATGTGTAAAATGTTTGGTGTGCTAAATCTGTAAGTTGAAAATTCCATCATGGTCCATGCTTGACCAAAGATGATTTCAATAGATCTTCTCTATTGATCTATTGCAGGGGTGTCAAACTCAATTTCATTGAGGGCTGCATCAGGGTTGTGTTTGATCTCGGGGGGGGGGGCTGGGGCGGGCATGGCCAGCTTGACATCACTCGTGTCGAGGGCGTCTGTGGTGGCCCAAGCGTTCTGCCAGCTAAAATGGGCTCCCAAGCTCTGTTTTCGCTGGCAAAGGCACCGCGGGCCGGTTCTTTGCTGCTTCCACGGCGGCCCCGCAGGCCAGATCTAAGCACCCCGTGGGCCGGATCTGGCCCACGGGCCTTGAGTTTGACATCCCTGATCTACTGGATCCATAATTCACTTACTATAGTAGATTTCAATAGCTCTAAAGTGGGCATATCCTGTTTGCCCCTTTGTTTGAGGCATAGAACGTCCTATGATTCTAGACAGTTACTCAAAATGGAGTCATGCGTACAACTGCAACACCTACTTTTAAAATCAGCGTTCTCAGTCTCTGCAACTTTAATATGTGTGGACTTCAACTCCCAGAATTCCCAAGCCAGAATTCTGGGAATTGAAGTCCACACATTTTAAAGTTGCAGAGGTTAAGAATCACTGCTTGAAACCAAGGGTAGATAATTGGGTCACGTCGATCATCCACTTTCAACATCCCTAATGGCAAGAGGTTGTAGATATTTTAATCCACTTTAGAAAACAACATGGATTTGTTATGCAATTATTAATTACTTGAAAAATATTTTGTTGTTTTCTGGATGGTAGAACCATGTACGGTAGTGGCCAAAATTGTGGAAACTGTTTAAACAAGGGGTGTGTATGTTTGTGTGTGAGAAGAGTACAGTGTCTGGAAGTCTTTCCAAGTCCTTTATCAACAGGGGCCATATTTTTGCATTTGTGTGTCTATGCGCTGGGAAGCATTTAGCATATACAGTAGTGGCCAAAATTCCCACTTTTTGGGAAAAGTGTATTTTCTAAAACTAGCTAAAAACACCACTTTTTTTTTTGGAGTAGTACCATAAAATTATATATCAATGGAAAGATAATTTAATCATGAATGTAATGCAATAACTTTTATGAAGGATTTGCTATTAGAATAGCAGTTACAGTATGAAGAAGAAAATTGAAACATGTAGGAAAAATGAGATATACAAAAATTATCACCAAGTATCAGTTAATACTTAGTTGGGTAACCTTTAACATGAATTACGGCCTTACAATGTCTTCCCATGGAGTGAACCAAGTCTTTGAGTTCTGCAGCTGTTATAATGTGAAACCAAGATTGAATGATTGCTTCTATTAACTGGGTTTTATTGCTGGGTCACTTCTGACTAACAAGTTTCTTTAATCGGCTCCATAGATTTTCAATTGGGTTAAGGTCTGGGCTATTCCCAGGCCATTCCAGCAGTGGAATAGGATTATCTTGAAACTCCAAAAAAAAAAAAAAAAGTCATGTTATTAGCCATCAAACCTCAAAAATACACTTTTCCCAAAAGGTTTTCACAATTTTGGCCACTATTGTAGTTCATTATTTAGCTTTGACTCCTGTGACAACATTCTGATTATTTGTGCAAAATCGGTAATTCTGCTGTTTTAAATACAGGTAGTCCTCTACTTACAACCATTATTGAGCCCAACATTTCTGTTGCTAAGTGAGACATTTACTAAGTGAATTCTGCCCCATTTGAATCACTGCAGTAACACGGTTGTTAAGTGAATCTAGCTTCCCCATTGACTTGGCTTCTCAGAAGGTTGCAAAAGGTCATCACGTGACCCTAACACACTGCAACAGTCATAAATATGACTCAGTTGCCAAGCATCCAAATTTTGATCACGTGACCATGGGCATGCTGTAATGGTCATGTATGAAAAACGGTTATAAGTCATTTTTTTCAGTGCCGTTGTAACTTCGAACGGTCACTGTAAATGAACTGTTGTAACTCGAGGACTATCTGTATTGACTTTTCTTTGTAGAATATTGTAGAATATTGATGTTTGACAATTGGATGGTAAACGTTTTATTTTCTCCTAAAAAGTTATTTTACTTGCAGAGTTGTTTCTCAAAACACACTGGAGTCTGTTTCAAATATGAATTCATTGCAGTGGTGGAATTCAAATAATTTAACAACCGGTTCTTTGCCCTAATGACCAGCTGGGTAGGCGTGGCTCAGTTTTCATGTGACTGTGTGGGCGTGGCCAACTCAACATCACTCACGTTGTAACACCTTAGCTGTTACAATGTAATAAGGGTTAACCAGAGAGGCAGTTTCTGTAAGCAGGGCAATAAAGATTAGGCTAGAAACTACACCAGAATGTTTCCTTCCTGCCTTCCTTACAGGATTAGCCCTGTAAAGTGGAAAAAAACAAAATAAGATTTCTTCCAACACCCGGTTCTCTGAACTGCTTAAAAAGTTAACAACCGGTTCTCCCGAATAGGTGCGAACTGGCTGAATCCCACCACTGATTCGTTGGCTGCAAAATATATTCCATTGGATCTGCACCATCGTATTTCTTTGGTTAAAACACTGGACATCACCGAATGAATACAGTTCTTACAATATAAATTGCATGTGTTCCCCTTCCCCCATACTCCAGAAAAAAAAGCTCTATGGAATTGTTAATATATAAATGGGCATGACACAAATTAAAACTGCTTTCTCGATCCAGTTAAATTACTACAAAATTAATTAACAGGCTACACAGCTTTCATTGACAGTATTTTTGTTTGGAACACAAGCATGATTAGTGATCTTCTTGTTGGGGAATAATGTTGGTATTGACTATGTCATCTGCAGTTTAGGAACCATAATTTTGTCAGCGATGAAGTAAATTGCTGTGATGTAGCAGTTCGTGGTTTGTTTTCTTTATTTATATAGACATCTTGCCAATCCAGCAAGGCATGGAAGTCAAGGTTAATTGTGATTTACTCCTGCTGGTGCAAAAAATGATAGCAGTGATCACACTAGAACTGGACTGTAAAAACACACACTCATTGCACCTTTGTGATCCTATTATTGTATGAGTGATAGTGGCGGGGAAGGGGTGGGGGGCTATATAAGGCTGTTATATAGGGTATATGTTGTGGCCCGTCAGCGGCCTGTGCAGCTAGTAGCTGATTCCGACAGCGAGGAGGCTGGTGTGGTGCTGCGCCAGCAACCTGTACAGCTGGCACTCGAGTCGGACAGTGAGGAGGCTGGAGAAGATGTGGTGCCAGAGGCAGGGATTCAGCCAGGGCCTTCAGAACCTCCAGAAGCTCCTTTAAGTGAAAGGGACAAAGAGAAGGAGCCTCTTCTCAATGCACAGGCGCGCAGAGCTGCCAAAAGGCAGGAGTGGCTCCTCAGGAGGAGGTCTCCTCGAGAGTAAGGCTTGGGGCTAATTGGCCACTCCCTTAGCCTATTTAAGGAAGGATGACGACTGAGGCCAGGGCCGGATTTTCCTATAGGCTAACTAGGCTTCAGCCTAGAGCCTCAAGATCAAGAGGGGCCTACATTCAAATTGTTAGCAAAATTAAAATTACACTTTCACTATAGGTGAAGGGGCCTCATAAGTGGAATAGCCTAGGGCCTCTTTTCATCTAAATCCGGCCCTGACTGAGGCAATTTGCAGGGAACAACTTTGTTCACTCTCCTTCACGTCCTGATCTTAGTTCTCTTATCAGTTTCCTACAAACTGCTTCTGTGCTTTCTGCCAATCATAGTAAGATTACGAATATTTATTCTTTGGATTCTTGTAGGCTGTTAAGAAAGTTAATTAACAGCCTTTATTTGAAAAAGACTGATTTAATTTAGTAAACTAAGGTTTGTACAGACTTTGTGTGTGCTGCGTTCTTAGCTGGGGCAGAACAGTATAACACAGGCAATAGTTGTTCATATAAGTCAAGGTTAGAAAAAACCAAGTATCGCAGCAAATCAGTTCAGTTGTTAAGTGAACTGTGTGGTTGTTAAGGAAATCTGCCTTCCCCCATTGACTTTACTTTTTGGAAGCTGGCAGGGAAACTCACAAATGTTGGTCACATGACCCTGGGATATTTCAAGCATCATAAACAAATGCCAGTTGCCAAGCACCTGAGTTTTGATCATGTGAATGTGGGGGGATGATGTGATAGTGTTAAATGCGGGGAACCAGTTGTAAGTCACCCTTTTTAGTACTGTTGTAACTCTGAACAATCACTAAGTGAATGGTTCTAAATCAAGGACTATCTGTAATCCAATCAGAAGTTGACTAAGGCATGAGTCATGGTCAGCCACGCCTCCAAGTCCAGAAAGGGATGCAATTGATCAAAGGATTCCCTGGCCACATTCGGTAGATGGTGATTGTGGAGCTCACACAACTCAACTTGAAGTCCCAGGTTCTTCTCAACCCCCTCCCACCCAGGGGTGAAATCCAGCAGGTTCTGACAGGTTCTGGAGAACCGGTAGTGGAAATTTTGAACAGTTCGGAGAACCGGTAGCGGAAATTTTGAGTAGTTTGGAGAACTGGCAAGTACCACCTCTGGCTGGCCCCAGATGGGGTGGGAATGGAGATTTTGCAATATCCTTCCCCTGGAGTGGGGTGGGAATGGGGATTTTGCAATATCCTTCCCCTGCCACGCCCACCAAGCCACACCATGCCCACCAAGCCCCGCCCACAGAACCAGTAGTAAAAAAAAAATGGATTTCACCACTGCCCCCACCCCCTTGAGCCTTTCGATTTCAAGGTATTTTTGATTTCTCCCCACCCTTCACCAGGAGTGAAATTTTAAAAAGAAAATAAGTTGCCTTCTTGAAATTGAATCGGTTCCCTCTAGAGGAGGTGCTTTCAACCCTTCGTGCTCCGGCGTCTCTCTGCGG